TTGTGGCAAATGGTGCTGGGATAGCTGGATCTGTACATGCACCATATGCAAAAGTAACTTGACATAGATCGTAGTCCCGAGTGTAAGTGGTTCAACTATGAAACTCTTAGAAGAAGAAAATATTCATGATGCTGAATTAAGAAATAGCTTCTTGGGGCTGGCACTGTGATGCAGTGGGTTAAAGCCCTGGCCTGAGGTGCCGGTTCTGGTCCTGGCTGCTCCACTTCTGATCCAGCTCTCTGCTGTGGCCTGGGAAAGCAGTAGAAGATGGCCCAAGTCCTTGGGCACCCGCACCAGCGTGGGAGACCCGGAAGAAGCTCCTGGCTTCTGGCTTCGGATCCGTGCAGCTCTGGCCGTTGTGGTCATCTGGGAGTGAACCTGCAGATGGAAGACCTCTCTCTCTATGTCTCTACCTCTCTCTCTGTAACTCTTTCAAATAAATAACATAAATCTAAAAAAAAAAAAAAAGAAATGGCTTTTTTTTTTTTTGACAGGCAGAATGGACAGTGAGAGAGAGAGAGACAGAGAGAAAGGTCTTCCTTTGCCGTTGGTTCACCCTCCAATGGCCACTGAGGCTTGCATGGCCAGTGCGCTGCAGCCGGCGCACCGCGCTGATCCGATGGCAGGAGCCAGGTGCTTCTCCTGGTCTCCCATGGGGTGCAGGGCCCAAGTACTTGGGCCATCCTCCACTGCACTCCCTGGCCACAGCAGAGAGCTGGCCTGGAAGAGGGGCAACCGGGACAGAATCCGGCGCCCCAACCGGGACTAGAACCCGGTGTGCCGGCACCGCAAGGTGGAGGATTAGCCTAGTGAGCCATGGTGCCGGCAGAAATGGCTCCTTACATTTGCACCAAACGCAGAAATACAACAGAAAAAAAATACAGATTGGACTTGATTAAGATGAAAAATGTTCATGCTTTGAAGGATGCCGTCAGGAAAGTACAGACAGGTACCAGTGAAGTGGCGCCAAGGTTTAAGTTGTTGCTTGCAACACCAGCATCCCATATCAGAGTGGCGGTTCAAGTCCTGGCTATTCCACTTCAGATCCAGCATTCCTGCTAATGTACTTGGGCTCTTGCCACCCATGTCGGAGATTTGGACAGAGTTGCAGGTTCCTGGCTTCTGCCTCTGGCCCAGCTTGGCCATTGCAGTCATTTGAGGAGTGAACCAGCAAATGGAAGATCTCTTGTCGCTTTCTCTCCCTCTGCCTCAAACCCTCCCTCTCTGTAACTCCGTCTTTCAAATAGATTCACCAAAATAGTTTTCAAAAGACCAAATCTGACTCATGTTTTCACTCCATACCTCCGGGCCCTGTCATCCCTGGTTTCCGTGGGGCACCGGCATGGATACCCAAGTCTTCCGTAGAAAATAGCCTCGTGTTTGCACAGAACACACACACCCTCCTGTGTAATTCAGATCACCTCTCAGTTACTTAGACTAGCTAATACAATGCAAATGGCTGTGGGACTGTATGGTTCAGGGAACAGCGACACGACCGTGCAGGTTCTATAGGGATGTGAGTATTTTCGGAAAATCTTTGCACCTGTAGTTGGTTGAATCCCCGAATGCAGAACCCCGGGGGTACTGAGGACCGACCGCATGCATCCTATGAGGCGAGGAGGCGCCGCGGAGGAAGCCAGCTCCGAGCCGCTGGAGCGAGGGGACAGTGAGGGGGCAGCAGCGAGGGGGTCCAGCGGCGGGCACTGGAGGTTGAGTGGAGAGGAAGAGCCTGACAGCTGACATTTGTTGTCAGAACTCAGCTTCCAAGAGAGGGAAGAAGGTCCCGCGGGAGCCCGGTCGGGCCGGCGGGCTGGAGACGTCAGTGCTGGCGCTTGCTCGGCTTGAAGTGCCTGTCACACTCCCAAGGGAAGCTTCAGACGCGAAGAGGATGGCTCCTTGGGCCTTTCACAAATGCTTGCTGAGACTCTGCTCTGTGCCCGGGGCTGCGCGAGGCGCTGGGGATGCGCGTGACACTGGCCACGCTGAGGGTTACAGAGGTCAGAGCGAGTCCGCAGTCAAGCCGGGTAATGCCTTGATGGGACGCAACGTACAATGGCTGTGAACATTCGGGATACTGCCAGAGCGAGGAGATGGGCTTTCACAAGCCGACAGCGCCTCCTCCTCAGCCCCGGGGCCGCCAGGTGTGGCCGCCTCCCCGCCCGCGGCACCGCAGCATTGCGCAGGCGCGGCCTCTGTCCGGCGT